TATATATATATATATATATATATATATACACACATATACACACACATATACACACACATATACATATATACATATACACATAACATACATATATACATACACACACCCACCCCCAAATATATTGTGTATATACTGCTGATAGAAAGCTATAAGCACTCTGCGCTTCCTTTCTGTAATGCATGCATGAAACATTTGTTTTGCTCTAGATGAAAGTGGCACTCCATTCGAAGTGTACGCAAATCCAACAATAGTTCCTTTTTTTTTATCTCGACTGAAATCCAGTGCTGTCCTGGGTACCCTGCAAGTTCATCTCTAACTATATTATCAACTATGTTATGAAGATGAGGAAAGTGGAGGTGTTCCATAGTCCTAACACACTATGTCCTAGGATGCTCCTCCATAGATACAGTACGGTTTACAAGCATTGTTATTCTAGCACAGATAACATGCTACTTGTAGAGCCACCAGGTGCAAAAACAGAAAAAAAGGACTGGAAAAAGAAAACTAGTACAGCCACCACATCTAAGGGCTGGCAAGCTGCTATATATTACATTTTTGTAATATTACATCTTGTTTTAGATAGGTAGGTACTTAGACAGTTGAAATACATGCATGCTATTTATCAAAATGATTTGTAACTTTGGACAGCCATTCCATTCCTGTGTGTAACACACATCTGCCAGTCCATTTCAGCAGGTGGGTCCAGTATAAGGCCAGGAAATGAGGAAAAAAACTGCAAAAGGCACACATTGAGTGTACTCAGAACAGGGCTGAACAAATCCCAGTAGCCAGGTAGGGTAGCCAATGTCCCTTACAATTTACAGCTGGTACCTAACTTTTGGGACTCTTTCTAGTTGTCCATAGAGCTGGCTTCTAGAAAGAATCCTGCTGGCTCCTGAATTCCATATTCATTTGTCCACCTCTGACTCTATGAAAGTACTCAAGTTTTTATAATCTAATTATTGAAGCACATGGATATCAAGAGCTTCATGCATAGGAATGTACTGAGATGTCCCTGGTTTTCAGTAGAAACACCTAGAAGGTTCCGTTAGATTTCCTATTTATCTTACTTTATGGAAAATGCAACAGAAAAAGCTGGAACTCCTAGAACTCCTAGGTGAACAGGAAAAGAGTCAGAATTATGGTGACGAGATCTCACTGCTGGAGTGTCTAAGACATATAAGGAGTAAGGACCTGACTCAACACAAGCTCTGACAGAATACCTAATCTTCAACTTGCCAGGTGTACATTAGGGTAAAGTTAATTCTATTCTATGTATAGACTCGATGACAACATCACAGCTCTGGTCTATGCTATGACGCAATTGACAGCAAGTCACAGTAAAGATTTATAGATCATATATATCTAGGGCAGGGCATCATAGCAAGCAGTGACATCATGTATCTTCTGGAATACTACAGTAATAGCTTTTCCTGTAGGTGGTAGGAAAACCTGTAGCAAAGAAAAACACTTTAGTTTTTTTCTATATCATGAGCAGTTTCATGAGCTCTATTAGAAGGCAACGTCTCCCTAAAATTATTTGTGTGCTCTGCTATACATATTGTGGCAGTGCGTGGCAATGCCACAGAGTATGCTGGCAACACAGTCACCCAGGACTCTTAGCCAGAGGGGCTGAGAAATTCCAGAAAATAAACAAACAGATTTGCAGGGAAGAAGCTGGCCTTTCCGTTTCTCTCGGTTTTTCCAAATTGTGACTGGGATCTGGAGCTCTGGAGATTTCTAAGGCTGGGTTCACACCTAGGCATATCGAATATGCAGGTTTGCCGCGTGTTTCGTGTTGCGCGATTCGCGGTAAAAAACCGTGCGACAAACGCGTGTTTCCGAGGGCTACCTGGCTGTATCCCAGTGGATACGCGCGACAAAACCGCCCCAAAGAAGCTCCTGTACTTCTTTGGGCGCAGGGCGTTTTGTAGCGCGTTCATATGGCCTGTAATACGCCCAGGTGTGAACCATACCCATAGGAAATAATGGGATTTCGGTGTTTGAGCGTTTTGCAGAGCGTAGGAACGCGCTACAAAACGCCCAGGTGTGAACCGGGCCTTAGCGTTCTGGGTGGGATGGAATCTCCAGTTCCAAGGTCAGGTGGCCGAGAGCAGCCTCATTAAGAACCCAGACCAGAGCTCAAGAGAGAGTTAGGGTGGTGTGTGCCAGCATACTCCGTGGCATTGCCACACACTGCCACAATATCTTTTATGAAGTATTTTTTTATTTTTCTTCCATAGTATGATGCATATGCATTACAACACCTGCTAGTTGAGACCAACTGATTGGCTAGAACCACGGCAGGGCGGACAAGATGGCAGCTCATTTTATTCAAGTGATCTGAGATCACTTGTACTAAAATGAGCAGTGGCTTCCCCGATCTACATTTAGCTCTGCTAGCACGCAGCAGGGCTAAATGTAGAAAAAAACTATCAGCCCGGAAATGCATGTCCTGGGCATCGGGTGATAGGAATTCCGCACCCCTGTAGCAATCAGCATTGTCACTGCTGATTCATAAGCCTGTAGCTTGCCAATCAGCCCCTGGCTACACCTAGTCCAGTCCACTGCTTTCTGGATTGACAGCACTGCCTTTCTTGCTAAAACCCTCCCACTGTGAACTGCAATATCTGGAAGGGGGAGCGTGTGAAACAAAAGAAGATATTTTTTTTTTTTCTCCCTTAAGGAAATAAAGAAAGTTTTTTTGTTTACTTATCAAGCTTGTACAACTGGATTTGGTAATTGTTCAGTTACACAGGAGCCTTTAGTTGAAAGATTTTAAATTGCTGATTAGGTTAATAGGGTTGGTCCACCCAAAATAGTTTCGCTATAGGTGGAGCCTGGTGGGCTGAGTCAGTCCATAGATTCTTTATGTCTTTGATACTACAGCAGTGAGAGCTTCCTGACAAATTCCTGGTTCTGTTTCTGCTCAACTGGATGTTTTGGGAGTTCTAGTTCTTGCTGTTCTATTCTCCATGAATTCAACAGGGAGAGAGAGAACCTGTCATAATGCCCCCAACCAGTGTGCAGAGCCAGGAACATAAAGCGCAAGATCTCACCAATGGAGTGTCTAGGAGATGTAAGAAATTGACAGGTGGTTTCACTATCCAGCACCTACCAACATGGAAATTTGAGCTTTGGGAGGATTGTCCCTTAAAACCTAAACATTAATGTGAAATTCAAGTAGAGAAGGTAAATAAATATACATTATATTATGGATTCACCTGATTGAACATACATAGCTGCAGCTGAACTAGTTAATTATTACTCTTGGGAGTTAATGATTGACTATACAGACTGTCAGTAGCCTGGAGAGTTTATGTAGCCCATATAACCTATGCAAACATGAACCTTGATGCATTAGTATATTTCTTGTCCTCTTTAGGAAGAGTGAAAGTCGATAATACATCAGGAGCTGTAAAATATATGAATGACCATGTCCTGTTTTGGAGTGTTAGTTCCTTTGAAAGGAAATCTATAATGGTTTGTGTCCCTTTTATTAAACTTTGCATGCTGGGCTTTCTAATAGAAAAAAGCCCAGAAATGTCAGGATGCTTGTTGGAAGCCTGTGTAAACCAACTGACCACAAACTTATAGTTTTTTTCACATTCAGCCTCGGCGACAGAACGAGAAGAAACACTTGATTCCCCCATCCATGCTGAGCAGGGTGCAAGGGGGAATCTTCCCTGTGGGGCTATTGTATTCTGGCAGCCAGTGCAAACACCAGACTACCCGAACAGCCAACAGTGCCGAGAGGGCCAGCCATATCATGAAATTTGAGCAATGCATGACCAGCTTAAGCCAGATGGTCTAGTCCCTTGGTTCTTAACTGGTGGGTCATAACCCAAAAGTGGGTCGCAACCCCGTTTTTCGAGGCGAGAGGCTTCTCAGCCTCCCCCTAGCGCAGCACTGTCAGTTCTCGGCCAAGCAGCCATTCAAAATATGCTGCCCAGAGCCGAGTTTCAGCTTGAGGTGGACTGGGGCTATGGCCGTGAGGGAGCTCCATATATACATGCATTGCTTACAGCTCCCTCGCATGTCCTGTAGAGGTGCCTGGACCAGAGTGACATCACATTCTGGCTCCCAGCACCTCTACAGGGTGTGCAAGGGAGTTTTACAATGCACATATGGAGAAAGCTCCCTCACAGCACAGCACCCCACACTGGACCCCAGGCTGAGGATACATTCCAGTTCTCGTAAGGTAGGAAGACTGGGTGGATCTAAAAAAAAAGGAAAAAAAATATTTAGTTTTTTGGGGGGAGTGTGCATATGTCTGTGAGATTGTAACTGTGCTTGTGTTTATCTGTCAGTGTTTTTGAGGGCCCGTTTACACTAGTACAATGCAATAATCAAACAGTCCTGTGCCATTAGCACACTGTACCGTGCAGTCGCACCTACTATGTGTTCTGGTGCGGGAGATGGATTGCGTTGCCATTCATTTGAAAGGCACCCCAAACACAACTCCTGCCCACAGTTCGATCACCCGCACCAGAATGCGCAATGCCGTGCGTTCCATTGCAGTGCGTCTTGGATCGCGACCTAATGACCAAGGACAAATGTGGGTCCTGTGGTTACACATGTTGAGAACCTCTGGTCTAGTCTGTGCTAGAGTGGAGGGGTTATGTCCCCTCTGTAGTACATTCTGCAGTCCATGTCATCTGATCTCCCTGCCCTTCAAGTCTATATGACCCCATAGCGGTTATAAAATCTTGATAACAGTTGGCCTCCCGCTGGCTAAGAATAATAAATACAATTTTCACATTTTCTTATTTTTCTGTTATATTATTATACTGCTATTTTAGGTCCAGTGCTAAAACTAAAAATGTTATAATTGAAAAATACATTTAAAAAATGATATGACAGGACAGAGCTTGCAACACCCATCTCTCATCACAGGGGTCATATCAAAGCAATAGAAGCCAAGGGGCTCCCGTAGTTGACATATGATTTTTGAGTGGACTAACCATTTCATTTTTAAACTTTCTTCAGTTTTTTTCAGGTATTTTGCCTTGTGTAAAACAAACTGAAGGCAAAATGTAATCCGGCACTTGTGAAGCCAAATCAGTCAATCGGTGGCATCATAAGGGTTATAAAAATGTACAGGGAAGAATAACATTATGCCGCCTCCACCCACCAAATAAATAAACGTCATTTATACAGTATACACACAATGGAAAATAAGAGCCTGCTGTACTCTTCCAGCACAGACTTGCTCAGCCTCAGGTAACCATATGTCAGGAAATACACAGGGAAAAAGGAACATGAACTCTATTTACAGGGAGGCTGTTTGGAGTGTAGATATCCTTTGAGTAATTCTGCTGATGTATGCTTACTTTAAAGCATAACAAAAAAATTACTTATGTTTTGGGCTCCAAGTTTTTCTAAGTATCCACAAAAAATATTTTATCGGATAGGCCCTTCATTTGACAGGATGACAACACTCTACGTTCCTCAGTAAAAACACTGCAGGTTGTCACCTTTAGCCAAACCTTAAAGCAATTTTTAATTTAAATATTGTACTTGTTCACTGTAATAGGAATGACATACTGTATACAGACTTGTAGGCTCACCTATCAGCTATCTACATTAAAAGAGACCCTGTCACTGCCTGTTACTCCTTAAACTTAAAGTGCATTTCCACTTTCGTGGCCAAATTGGGATAACACCTATTTTATATTTGTTACATATTCCCATTCACATAGCATCATCGACACACAGTCACACCAGATGCAGTGTGTTCCGGCCCGATTGTGGCCAGAACGCACTGCATCGCATTGCGGCCAGCTCACTATGGTGTGGGGAAGGAGGGGGCGTGGCGGTCCATTGAAGTGAATGGCACCATAGCCATGCCCTCCGGCCACAATTAGGTCCGAACAAAATAGTGCTTGCAGTATTTTGCTAGGACCGGACCACAGGCATAATTTGCCTTTCGTTCCTATTTGCATTGCGGCCGGAGGGCGTGGCTACGGTGCCATTCACTTCAATGGACCGCCACGCCCCCTCCTGCCCCCCAACATAGTGAGCCGGCCGCGATGCAGTGCGTTCTGGCCAGAATCGGCCCGAAACGCACTGCATCTGGTGTGAACGAGGCCTTAAGGGTTACATTTTCTTCTTGCTTCTATTTCTTTTAAAAATGTTAGGAGGGGTTGTGATGGGTGAGGGGTCTTGTCCATTCAGAGGTGGCTTGTCTATGTTAATTAAGCTTTTAAGATAAACACAATCCTCAAATTTCATTTCCATGACTTTCCATTGGGACAGACCACTGTGAGAGGGCTAAGAAAATCCCAGAATCAGCGATCTTGCCTGATTTAACAAAACATCAAAAAAAGGTAAGAATTTTTAAAGTTATCTGTCAGTATGATATGTAAATAGGAACACATAACGAACATAGGAGGAGTTTTTCTAAATTTGACTGCAAAAGTGGAAATACTTTAAGGATCTGTTATACGTAGGGATGCACCCATACTAGTATTGGTACCGTTAGCCAGTATTTGGGCGAGTACTCGTACTCGCCTAAATGCTCTCGATGTCTATCCTAATACTGGAACTTCCGGTATCAGGAAGCCGGGCGGCGAGTAATTACATGCTGCCCGGCTTCCTGATTGGCCAGGAAGCTGGATCCGTGCTCTCTCGTAACCAGGGAGCATGGAGGTGGCTTCCTAGCCAATCAGGAAGCCGGGCAGCAAGTCACTATCCATCCCACCGGCTTCCTGATTGGCCAGAAAGCCGGCTCCGTGCTTTTTTATCCCCTGGTGATGAGGGAGCATGGAGACGACGACTTCCTGGCTAATCGGGAAGCCGGGCAGCGAGTAATTACATGCCGCCCTGCTTCCTTAATAAGACCTCCAGTATCGTTATTGGCGTCCTGATAAAGCTGAAGAGAATGCCCTCATGCACTGGCCAGCAGCTCAGATTTAAAGAAAACATTTTACTTTTTTTTGGTAATGGTTTGTTTTGTTTTTTTGTTAGGCCTAGTGGGGGTGGCTACCATAGAGATTGTAGTTGCTGAAGACGACAAGGTCCTCTTTTAAAAAGGACATTCTGGGACATTTAATTTTTCACAACTAAAAAGTAAAGTACAGTCAGCATTAGCTGGATTGGGTATTTAAAGATACTTAATGGCCTAGGATTTCTCCAACATCTAGGAAAAGTGAACAAGAGAAGCATCTGAATTGGCACACAGCATCAAGCTACAAATATGAGTTTACCTGGAGCATAAGCTCGCAGTCATCACGGCCAACGAAGATCATCTCCCGGGGCAGTCGATGGCGAGTGCCCGAGCTGCTCACCAGGAACCACGAGGTGACGCTCATCTTGTTACTTGGTTCAGTTCCTACCATTCAAACATCCTGCAATTAAAAAAGTGCAGTCTTTTTAACCTAAATAATAATGTGACATGGGCTCATGTAGAGTGTACATTTTACCTGAGCAGACTCTATAACTGGGATCGATATAGCCCAGTGACATTGACAAAGGTGCTATCTTAAGACATAGGACAGCAATGCACTGTCTGCACAAGCATCAAAAGGGACAAATACCTTGAGAATTGCTCACACTGTGAAAGGTGGGGACACATTATTGCGATTATCATATGTAAATACAGCCGGGATTACAGTGAAAACCAGAAAGGCGAGTTAAGCATCAAAAGTTCTATTATGGGAAGTAATATGTCTAAATACATATAATGAGCTCACGGTCACCTCTGAGTAATGTTAATTGCTATTAACCTTTTATGAGATATGCTAAGCAGTGTATGATGCTGCAGAAAAACATAAGCGATTTAGGAACTCAACTAAATGCTATTCTTACCTCTATCTGGTGACCTAGGATATAAATCACCACAAGTTTAGAAAGCACTTTAATTAATTTACCCAATCAGCCATGCCCTTCTGGTATTAGGATTTGCCTTTGCATATAAACTGCATGACTTGATAAAGTAACAGCATCATAAAATGTATTATCCAGCAGTTCCCAAAAAAGTTCTCAATACAGTGCCTCTTTGCTATGGACCATTAATGGTCATAGACGAGTTCCAGATACTGCATTTGGGTGATAAGGGATACATTAGAGCTTTTAGTGGCTGTGTGGAGAGAGACAACAGTGCTTTTCCATGTGTGTATAATCTCATCTTTACCAGATTAGGCCTTTCACTTTGGCAAGGCCATGCTAGATTGAACCCCCTGGTCAAGCCACAGATTCTTTAACTTTGTAAACACCACATAGCTGTTGAAGATGGAAGCACCCATACATGGGCTAGTTAAGCACCCAAACGTGGGCTATTGGAGCACCCATACATGAGCCAGTGAAGCACCCATACATGAGCCAGTAAAGTACCCATACATGAGCCATTTAGAAAACAGGGTTAAACCAAGAGGAAATTAATTGTTATGTATACCTGAAAATACAATCAAGCATTGCTTATGTACCAGGGTCATGAACCCCCGGGAAGAAATGTAAGGGCTTAGTTATATGGGTGATTTTTTATCGATTTCTGCTGATTGGTTTACCGTTTGCTGCCATTCATCTCATTAGCAGCAAACCGATTCAAACGTGTTGGAAATTAGGGGACTGACAATAAATGGATAAACCTCTTAGTAGCAATTAATAAAGATCTCCCCATGTAGCTTAGTCCTACGGCTGCCCATACGTGTGGCAATTTTCAGTCCATTTCAATCACTCTCCGTCCAGTGGAAATTGGACATAGGAATCTGACCCGTACATGGGCTATTTAGAAAACAGTGTTAAAATAAGAGGAAATCAATGTTTTCCTAAAAATGGATACATTGATAATTAATACGTGTACCTTCATATGAAACTGAGCACTCTACCTACAACCAATATTGCATCAATTGTAATGTCAAAACTGGGCGATAATTTGAGAGCTTCAATACAGTTCAATGAAAGATCAAAGCAACTTCTTAGAATGCACAGCAATCAATCTTATACCCAACCTATAGCTAAAGACGATGGCTACAATGTATACACAACTCAACCATGGGACTGAATCTGACCGAAGGTCTTCTCCAAACCTTTCACATTCTTATCAGTAAATGTGCAAACTCATGCCTATAGGAGGAGGAAGCACTGTGGCCGGTAGCCGTCGCTGGAAGAGGCATGGTCGCTGGGGGAGATAAACGTGAGCACTGTCTCCTGACAAGTCACATGTATTAGGTCACACAGCAGGGGTCTATCCTGCTCTCCACTTGATAGAATTACTATGCTAGAGGTTCGTTTTAAACACCAGGGAACAACAGGAATTAAAAATTAACAACTGTTCAAATCAGCGTTTTTACAGTTGATCTTATTCACCTACGTCCTCCTGTTCATGCATGTCCAGATTTCTACACAACTTCATCAAAGTCATTAGGATTGTTTCAATAATTTGCGAATGGGAACCCTTACTCAGTAAAGCAGCACAGAGCTCGGCAATGGAGGTGCAAAGTGCAATAGCCATAGATTTCAGTTTACTGACCAGTAAAATAAAAAAAAAAAGGTGATTGATTTTCATTAGCTGCCAGAGGTTACTGCACTTTGCTCTTTACTGTAGCATGCACCTTGTCGCTGTATTTAAAAACAGAACTCTGTGCCCATCCATACCTTTAGCTAAATCCGCACTCAGCACATAAAAGGTCTGCGCTGGCATTTCTATATGGAACAGAACATAATCAGCTGTTTCAAGGGACTTCATGACCACTCTAAACGTATAATCTTTCAGTATATGTAACAGCGCTCCTCATTTTAAAGGTCAGCGTAAGGGTTATTACACAGAGATTTTTCCACTTAATAGAAAGTGTGTGTAAGGGGGAGGCCAAATCTTTACGTTGTGGTAACGTGGTGTGCCAGTAGTGCAGTACCACATAATGCACACATAAGTGTCCATTTTAAATAGCACATCAATGCACTAAAGCAATGCACCTGCATTGCAGCATGAAGCAACGCATGGTAATTCCTGCATTGTCGTTGCACGTTGGCTGTACTGGAGTGCGTTGGCAGCACATTCAAACTGAAGGGGCTGCCTCAAAGGAGAACTATGAGGCGAGTGAAAATCACTCATCCTCATAGTTCGAGCCGATGTGTGACAATGAAACAGTCACACGTCGGCTCAATAGATCGGGAAGTAAGCAAACGCACACCGTCGCTCGATCATCTCCGTGCAGGGATTGTATTGTACTGACAGGCAGGATGGCACCTTTCATTATACACAGAAATGTGTTACTGATAGTGAACTTTGCAGGCATCTATCTGCCCCTCCTGGCAGCCCTGCCAGCCTAGGCAATGACCTACATTGGTTATGCAGAAATCCAGCCCTGCTCATCAGCCAAGTCACACAGATGATCACAAGGGGCCCTGGCAGGTTATAGGGAAGGCTGATGTCTCCATGTTTTGGTGAGACATTTACCTGTCTTAAAGTGGACCTTTCATTTCATGCCTGTATTAACCAGTTCCCAGCATGTCACAACTTACTATGAAATGTAAATATTAGCTCTACCTTTAACTATTAAAAAACAGTCCTTGAGCTTCATTCCAATGACCATGCCATCACTCTGCTGCAGGCAGGAGGAAGCATTTCCTCAGTCTTTTTTCTTCCCATGATCAGACTGCAAAATAGTAACTTTGTTGCCAGTCACTAGCCGAGAGGCTGCATCAGGGGCTAATCTGTGTCAGGCCTCGTTCACACCAGACATAGTGAAGGGAATTTATCAAAACTGAAGCAGACAAAATCTGGAGCAGCTGTGATTGGCAACCAATCAGACTCTCTTTCATTTTCAAATCTTAATTGAACAAACTGAAGAGAGAAGCTGATTGGTTGCCATACGCAGCTGCTCCAGATTTTGTCTGCTCCAGGTTTGATAAATCCCCCCGATGTGTTCCGGCCCGAATCCGGCTGGAACGCACTGCATCGCATTGCAGCCAGCTCACTATATAGTGGGGCAAGAGGGGGGTCCATTGACGTGAATGGCACCGTAGCCACGCCCTTCGGCCGCACGGGGACGCAAGGCACATCAATGCCTGCGGTCCGGTCTAAACAAAATAGGGCTTGCAGCATTTTTGTTAAAAAAAAAGCTCCCTCCTGCCCCACAACATAGTGAGCCGGCAGCAATGCGATGCAGTGCATTCCGGCCAGAATCGGGCCGGAACGCACTGTGTCTGGTGTGAACGAGGCCTCAGACATTTGTAAAAACATTGTAAGAACCAGCATCTAAGTCCAGGAAGTAGATTGTGACCCTGGATGATGCCTGAACAAAAATAGCACCTGCCTTCTGGACTGAGAAGCAGATGAGCGCAAGTGTAACCCCCTCAACAAAGCCATCAGTTTATAAACTTGTAAAACTGGTGACAGAGACCTGTCAGTGACTAACATCACACAGAAAAAAAAAAAACTAAAGCCAAAATGGTCAGAACCACAATGGAGAGATTCTTGAACGTTACAAAGTTTTGAATCCAGCTGGCTACTGCTCTACAGTCTAACTCTAAACCAAAGCTGCACAAATCCCAGGAGCCAGGTAACCAATGCTCCTTAAAAATGACAGTCAGTGCCTACCTTTTGAGGTTTTCTCTTGCGGATGTCAATGGAGCCAACTCCTAAAAAATCCTGCTGGCTTCTGGATTGGACAGACCGGCTCCAAAAGTCCATATTAGTTTTTCCACCCTTGGTCTAAACCAACCATTTTCAATTAGGGTTCTTATAAACTGTAGGATTCCTCCAGCGGTTCCTAGGGGTTCCTTGAGCTCTGGCTAATCGACTTCCTATTTGATGGTGCCTACATACTTCTGGAGGTCAACACCCCTTTGGAGGAGCCATCTGCACAATACCAATAACAACACCAATGATATGTTCAGCTTTCTGTAAGGGTGGCCCTCTGACCACAACTGTAAGAGGAAGTTTTTTTCCCTACCACTGGCCACCAAAAGTAAGGGTCCCACTGACCATCAATGAATTGGTTTTACCATGGGTTCCCCAAGACCCAAGAATTATTTCAAGGGTTCCTCTGTGGTAATAAGGTAGAGAAAAGCTATTCTAAACACTTCACGTCAGAGTCCTTCACCTAAAGCTTACATCACCCCGATTGAATTCCACTTTCTGGCAAGAGGTTAGAAGAGCACCATTGTTATCCCACAAATGAGGGTGGGGGAGAGTCAATTACCTGGAACAAAAAGATAAACCAGATTTTCCCAGGTCAGACTCAGTATATGTATCTCACCGCTGGCAGGAAACGGGATTATATTCTTTCAACGAGGATGATTAGAGAATAAATAAAATAAGTGATTGATTCTAAGTTAAAAAGAGACGTGTCTGAACAACAACTATGCAGAAAACAATGTGTTTATTGAAAACTGCTAAATAGAC